TATATATATATATATATATATATATATATATATATATATATATATAGTTAAATTATTTATAACTATTAATAACTGAAAAAATAGATACTGACCAGAAATCGATAAAAAATGCTTATAAGATAGTAAAAAACTATATAAAAATTAGTAAAAAACTGCTTAGAAACTACTAATAAACAGGTTAGATACTGATCAAAATCTAGTTAAAAACTGATCTGAAACTGTCTGGTTCAACTGTTCAGTTTTTGACGAAGTGAGCGTCGACCAAATCAGTCAGTTTCTAGTCAAGAAAACTGGTTAAAAACTAGCTAGTTACCAAAAATTCCTGGACAGTTACTGGTCAGAAACTGGATTTGAAGCCTTAAGGCTCCAAAGAGATCGCCATAAATAAAATAAAATTAAATGAAGTCAGTTAAATATCCGCGCCTTGAGTCACTCACCTGTGATTGCACTGTTGACAAGCGAAGCACTCCAAGTGATAAACGTTGGTTCTCGCGCGCATCACCATCTCGAACGCCGGAATCACCTTGCTGCAGGCCGCGCAGTGGCCGGTGTTTCCGAAGAGCCTGTCGAACAGACGAGGGAGAGACGAACGTGAACCGTCTGTCCTCGTTATCCCGGATTTTCCGAACGATCGCTCACCCGCGATACAATAACGCGACGCGACGTCTCCTGCGACCTTTCCATTCGCCATTGAAATCGGCGACACGCTTGCTCGGCAGAGCGTCGCGATTAACGTTATTGCAGTAAAATATCACCGCATTTTTCCCGACGAGACCGAGTTTCGCAAAAAGTCGTGTTCTTCTTCGATTACGAGAACGAGCGGGGAACTTTTGTCGGCGCGCACAGCGGGAGCCAATAAGCTTACGGCCACGGATATGCCGTCTTCAAATATTGGGCCATTAATAAAGACCACAATGTTTCCGACAGTGCGTGCTTCTCGCGCGCGGACGCGCCACCTGCGCGCATTCCCTCGGGACTTTGTAATCTCAACACGGTTTATTTGCTCTCGCTTGTTTATACGGGATGTGGCTGTATTCAATAAGGGAAACTCATCTGTAAAATTCGATTTGTTGCCGCCTCCGCTGTTCTCCTCCTCCTCCTCGCGATTTTCTCGCCCCCTCGCCGAAAGATCGCGTTCCTCGTCTCGCTCTGGCAACCTGTCTGCGTCTGTCGACGTTTATTGACCCGTCACGGCGCGATACTATCGAATCTGTGAACTGCGAACTCGCCGGGAAGATTTCGCGACGCGCAAGGTATCGGGGGCGATCGATCGGGATTGTTTGTCGGGTACATACCGCAGATAGTCTCTTTTGCAGAGGATGAGATTGGCCTTCGTGTAGAGCGTCGAGCCGACCTCGCCGAGTCTACAGTCGCAGCACCCGCATTTCAGGCAATCTTCGTGCCAGTACATATCCAACGCCTTCAGAAGGTACCTGGTAGAAGGACGACATGATAATTAGTTTGGAAAAATTCATTTTAAGACGTTCGAGATCGGTTGTGTAAGATAACGTGTCGCGTACACGCGACTAATCTACGAGTTCTTTTCACGAACGCTGACGTAGTCTGCGCTGCGAGGTGAACGTACGTTAATTAATATCCCGACTTTTAATTATAATCGTCGCGCGGCTTTAATCTCGCGACTTTTAGACAACGCGCTTACGGTGTCCTCACTCGAGGAAAAGTTGTGATTTTACATTAATTTATAAGTAGTTATTTTGAGGCGTCTCATTAACAATTAGTGAACGCCATACTTGAAAATTTTATCGACAAGATATCGACTTTTATTCTGCAATGTTTTGCCGTATTGGTTGCACAGAATTGCAAATGCTTTTACATAATTAAAATACGTGTTAAAATGAATTGGAGCATTGCTCAATATGTAACGAAAATAGTAGAAAATTGATATCACGAGCTATCAGTTGACGTAAACATTGAGCTGATACAAAAATTCTGCAGCTTGCACATACCGTTCAAGGAAATCTCAAAAAACTTTTACAATTAAAGGAATTATTGGAAGCTTAAAATATACGTAAAGTTTATAGAAAGATTTCTATATATGCATAGTCATATTTCCCGCAAAAAATATGATAAAGCAGCACACATTTATACAAGATCTATATGTGCCAGAAATATGAAAAGAGTAGCGTAATCGTATTAATGTTTATTTGACATGTCCTTTTAACAATTTTAACGCCTCTACGTCATCGACTTTTTTGGAACACATCATCCACTTTGGCGTCATTCCCTTAAAAAGGAGAACTTATTTAAGGATGATTTAATTTTCGATCGTTTCAACAGACCACACATACACACACATATTTGAATTTAATCTTTATTATTAATTTCGGGGCATGCAATGTATTATTTGCAATTCAATTACGTAATCTATCAATTATGTAGTTCGCTCAACGAGATTTGCAAGATTAATGTAAGACCAAAATTTCGAAACACGCGTATAATCGTCTCGCAATTAACGATAATATGGAAATATATTTAACCTAGTTCGTGCGTGCGACGACGCAGGCTCTCCCTCCTCCCGCGAAAAAAATGAAGACAGAAAAGAGAAGACAGACGTTATGATCGACCGTTAAGTCCTTACGGCCAGCGTTCTTTTAGGCTAGGTACCTGGCCACAGGTAGGGGTATAAAACATACATACACGAAGCGTCGTGTCACGCAACGAAGCGGAGCACTCACCTCTCTGTAATCGCCTTTCCGCAACCCGCGCATTCTTGCTGAGTGGCCCCGTTCTTGCCCGGCTCGCTCTTGCTCCCATCCATAGTCATTTTATCGTCTGCAACATGGTACAGAAATGCCGCCTTAATCGCCACACGGAGACTTCGTCGCGCCTCGTAAATTCCGCGCCGAGCGCGCATTCATTTGGACTCGCGGATTCTAGGGAGTAAAATGCAACGAAGGCATGCGCACTTGACATTCTTATTCTAATACTATCTCAACGAGTCAAAAATTTTTTACCCTACTTTCGACCTCAATATTCCATTTAACACCTACTTTGATACACAGAAGTCTATGTTAACCTCTTTTGATTCCATTTAACTTGCAGCTTTGCAGTAGAGGTTCTCTCAAGTGGTATTTTGTTCTCTCTCTCTCTCTCTCTCTCTCTCTCTCTCTCTCTCTCTCTCTCTCTCTCTCTCTC